AGGACATAGCTTACATGAGGGATAGAGACCAATAGGGACATGCTTGGGCACACTATATCATGGACAAATTACCTTCATTGGAAGGGTCCAAGGCAAGGAGCATGAAGTCCATACACTTTTCTCTATACAATTTCAAATCATCCTTGCAAACATACAGAAATATCCATTTCTCTTTCCCTTGTGGCATCTATAAGTCACACCCTGCTGACCCCCAGCACAGCCTGAGAATCATCCTCAACACTGTTAGCTCACTACCAACTAATGAGCTGGCATTTGGGATAAAAAGCATTTGTTTCCTACACAGGAATCTCTCAGATCAACATCAAGAAGGATGAAAGGTCACACAATGATTATCTTACAATGGGGACTGACTGGATCCTCTCCAGCATATCCTAGACACTGAAAACAGAGGTTGATCAACTCAGAGACTGATGAAAGCATCCACTTCCTTTGTTCTTGCTGACAAATGTCAGGGAAAGCTGGTTCTAGCTGGGCACATGTATGCTAATAGCCCAGGGTAGGTAGGTGTCTGGAAATCTTTTCCAAAGAGGGAGGGAAAAAAAAAAAAAAAAAAAGATCCACCTGAGCAATCTCTGCTATATTCATATCTTTCAACACAACTTTTCAAAAGAAAAAAATATGACCATATGACCACAAATAAACCTATGTGCCCACTACAGCTCAGGCCAAAGGCAGCAAGTTCACCTTCAAACATCTCTACCCAAGTATTTAAGCTAGCTGATATACACAGGGCAGAGTTAAGACATGTGCTTAGGGCAATTTTAAGAGAACAACTCTATCTTTAGCAATAAGTATATAAAATAGTACTTGTGCTCTTTTTATTTGTACAGGAAGGTTTTAAAAGAAACATTTTTGAGAAATGACAGATCATCAGATCACTAATAACTTCGGTTTCCTGAACAATTAAAGGAATTCACAAGATTGCAATCCACTCGGGAAGTGACAAATATTTCTGATTTTTATGGAAGGACTGAAAGGGCACTTTTATCTATTTCATAAGAACCCTTGTTAAGTAATGATGTAATTTTTGTTAGTTTTTTACTTATTTCAGGAATACTAAATATAGTAATGATCTGAAAATAGAAAACATTTCACTGCATATTTGCAAAGGTAAAATTTTGTATGAAGAGACATTTGTCAGAGTTTCCTGTTTTATCTATTAAGGTTGGTTCTTCCAGCTCAGGTTCCATTGTCCCAAACTCTGTTTCTAATGCATCAGCAGAAATGTCCTCTAAGTTACCTCATCTTATTCTTCACAAACACACTTTGTAAGCTTGCCCTCCATGCATCATACTAACAATATTTGGCCCTGATAACATTTTATGTATGATGCCCCTGTTTGGAAAAATCTGCTCTTTTTAATAACTGATTCAATAAACTGTTGACAAATGGTTTGTTTAATATAGTACAGCCAGCAGCAAGGTTTGTCTCTGTCATGACACACCACATTCAATCCATCTGCAAACGCTGCCATGTCCCCCTTATGTTAGAGCACCTTTTGCCATTCTGAATAGCAATCCAAAGATCAATACGCTGTCTGCTGAAAACTATGGGACATAACAAATGAATCATTTTATTTACAATAAAAGCCCCAGTCCCCAAATGGATTCTACTCATGTTCAAATTCACTTTTCATGCTCAACTCCAGAGGAGAGGTAGATGCAGCGTAGTACAGGAAGAGGGGCGTAAGGAATAGTATGAACCACAATGGTTCAAATTTATTTAAACCATGAACAATAGCTGGGGTACAGCAATACACACGAACACAGCATTCGCTGCAAAATCCTGGAGATGCCCTCTCCAAAATGATGCTGTTCTCTCACCAAGAAACCCTGAAAAAGCATTTTCCAGTAACAAGAAATTAATGGATTAAGAAATTCTGACATATTCTTCTAGAGTGTTGCATCACAGAGGCCAAAGCATATTCAATGGGCTTTAAACACTGTTGGCAAGGAACAGAATGTTTGCATTAGGTGAGGACCAGGAGGGACTGAAGTGGCTTTTTTTAGAATTAAAAAAAAAAAACCACAGTCTCATTTCAAAAGCATATCTTCGGCCCCTGATCTGACAGTTCCTTTCCTACTCCAAAAGCTATTAAAAAAAAAAAAAAAAGCCAGGGAGCAAAGTCATAAGAGAAATGGAGTGGGTAGCAAAATGTTAGCAAGGACACAAGTTCAAAGATAAATAACATTTCCAAGTCTCTCATGAATGGCACACTCCCCAAAGGTCGCCTAAATATCATTAAGTAGAAAAAAAATCCAAAATACAAGACGAAATGGTCTACTTTACATGAAGATGCCAAAATACTGTCCTTAAAATACAAACTTGTCCACTGACAAATTAACATGCAGAGAGAAATGGAAAAGCATCTTTTTCTATCTGCCATCAATTAATTCACTGCTTTTACACTTAACTCAGTACATGGATAACACATAACTGTAAAAACAGAGTTGTAACTGACAAAGGATGAAGTTTGGAAAATATGGTTTGGTCATAATAATAAAAAAATATAAATCTAAAAAAAAATCAAATAACAAGACTGGGCTTTGGGCATGGGAATACGAAAAAGGGATCTTAGCAGACCTTTATTCTCCCATGCCATGAACTAAACAGTACAATATGTTCCTGATGTTCATAGTTTCCCTTTGAATTCAGTCACTGTTGTACTTTGTGATGCTAAGACAAAAGAGTTGTACAAAAGTAGGTCCCTATGGGCTGGAGTTGTAGCTCAGTGGTGTGAGGCACTGGGTTCGATCCTAGCATCACATAAAACAAATAAAGGCATTGAGTCCATATACAACTAAAAAAATTAAAGGAAAAAGAATAGGTCCTACCCGCAGGAAGGAATAATTCTGTGCAAAAACAAAAGAATGCACAGTTCTGACATGAGGCAGAGTAGCAAAGTTTTGAATTAATCACCATGTTAGCAAGGAACCAAGCATCACAATGAGGAAGCCATATATCTTACCTAACAGGGAAGAATAATTATGAACACGCCTCACTTAAAAAAGCAAGGAGAATCTAGAGGTAAAGAGTAGCAGAGGAAACTATGGTCAAGTATAACACATTTTTAGGAAATAGCTAGAAAGAAGGGAAATTGGCTCTAGACAATAAAAGGCTTTAAGAACCAGGCCAAGGAGTGAGGACTTTTTCTTCACAAAAACAGAGACTCATTACTTATGTTCTAGCAAGGGAACAGAAGAGTAATATGATCAGAGCTGTGGTTCAGAGTAGGGTGGAGGCTAAATGGGAGGAGCCCAGAGAGAGGGAGTTGCTAAAATTCAGATGACCCTCACCAAAGAGCTAGAAGGCAGGCTGGATAGAATGCCAGGGGAAGATAAAAGCCCACTCTGGACTTCTCCCATTCATTTTATGAAGTGTTAGTGAGCAGAGCTATCCACAGCTTCAATTCCCCCCAAATCTCAGAACAAAAGACTGGCTTTCTGCAAGCAAATGAGTATCTTATTAAGATGCTTCTCATAGTTATAACCAAACAGAGTTTACAAAGGTAAAGTGAAATAAAAAATTCCAAAATCTTCACATAAAAAGGATCATCTGAATATATTGTCTACTGGCCCCAAGACCATTTTCAACACTGTAGATGTGAAATAGCCTTTCAGAGTGCGCTGATTACAGAAATGTTCTGGCTGTCATTGTTCCTGTCCTCAGAAACACTGGGCACTTCTTGCAAACAAACCAATATGAAGAGACTTCACATACCAGTTTATTGATTGATCATGATTTTTGTAAATCCACAAAACTTAATTAATTAAAGTTTGGATTCAGGGAATTTGGAAGTCTATCATATAATCACAATTATCTTTTGTTACATGTTTTTCTATCTGTCCCTTTTTTTAATGGCTTATAATGATTAGGAAGGAAAGTTATTCATAAAGGTAGGTACTTTGAACATATATAATAATATAAATCATAACTGAAAAAAATCTTGGCATATCTGGGTTTTCAGAATTCATTCATTTCCAAGTCAAATCACATCTTAGTACAGAAAATATTATCTTAAAATATGACATTTGATTCTTATTATACTCTGCATAACAAAGAAAACAATTTTTGAATAGCCACTATAAAATTCACATGTACACAATCATAAGCAATACTTTTATAAAAACACCTTTTAGTTGTAGATGGAAACAATACCTCTATTTTATTTATTTATTTTGATGTGGTACTGAGATTGAACCCAGTGCCCCACACCTGCTAGGCAAGTGCTCTACCACTGAGCCACAACCTCAGCCCAAGCAATATTTTGAACAACATAAAAATAGCTCCCCTGAGTGTTTCACCAATTCCTACAACTCCCACTGCAAACTAGAGTAAAGCTCCTAGTAGTCCACAGGGGAAAGAAAAGTCCTTCAAAGGAAATAAAACAACTCTACCACCAGCAACACTAGACAATGGTCTAGAAGCCAGGTCTTCTCCCAGGAGAAAATGCTGTTTCTGATCACAATAGGAAAAACAATTTTCTTAAGTATGTATACATGTATGAATTTAATTAAAACTCACAATTTGAATGACCTGTAAGAGGTAATGAAACAAAGATTCAAATTCTCATGTAATCCCTTAATTCCACATCACAAAGTTGCAATCCAATTTCTAACCTACCATTAAAATTCACAATGGATAAAACGAACATGAAGTGCCCATGATATTCATTGGGCCAATTTTAGAAACACCTATTTATTTACCCAGCTACGATAGTGAAAAGGTCAAGCAAAAATTCACCTCCAAAGCCACAGTTGCTAAGCAACTCTTCTCACAAGTTCTGCAACACTGATCAAGCATATTACTGGTGCCACCAACTGGATTCAAAGAGACGTGAATAACATCTTACCTGGTCTCTCCAAAGTGGGAGGGAGGTAGATCCCTTGCTTACCTTGGGTGGACAGTCATTGAAGGCCAAGCCTGCATCCGTTTGGTTGCATACCTTTTTATTTCACCCTCTTACAAGAAAAGGATACGTCCTGGTACGACCGGTTTCCTATTCACGAGAGCAAAGGACAGCTCCGTTTTGAGAAACACCACAGAGGGCTTGATAAGATGCTGGCCAAATCTGAATGACATTTCCTTACACTTGAGGTCTGAAAGAAGACAATTTAGAAAATGGACATTAATAAAAGTCAAATAAGAAATTCGGTTCATGTACCACTTTAAAGAAAGCAAATTCCATTACTAAAGATTCTTGGTTGTAAAGAGGATGCCATTTAAACTGTCTGCCATTTAATATCCACCCAGTTGAATTCCAGGTAAGTCCTCCCTAAACACTCCATTGTCCTTACTATGTTGCCTAGATTTGAGAGAGTGTTTTCAAGCCAAAGCTTGCACCTGATGACAAAACAGCCATTCACTCTTAAATCCTTCTGCTCTGCAGGTTGCCACCTCAAATCCAACAGGTCCAATTTGTCAAGTACTTATTTTTACCCCAACCATTTTTGTCATCTTTGCTAAGCTGAAATTTTTCATTGTTAAATATTGACTACAAACCTTCTAATTCTTAAATGTTTCTCTCAAATGGTTTTTATCTTTGTTTATATAAAAGCAATTTTGAACCTGTACAAACACTGTCTGACCTTGCCTACAATTACAAAACACACAAGCACTCCCAGAGAACTATTCCAGCATATTTTCTGAAATTAAAAAGAATGAAGGAACAAAACAGTTTGAGACGGGAATACTTCTTTCTGGTTGGGTTGACCCAGAGCCTGGATGTAGTAAGGTACACAAATTGTTTCTTTCTTTTTTTTTTTTTTTTTTTTTGCTTTCTTTCTTTTGTTGGCTAAAAGGAAAAAAAAAAAGTCGCAAAAAGGGAATTGAAGAGAGTTAGCATTTGGCAATTAGAGTGAGATAAACCCACAAAGCACCAAGAAATGATTTCTCCAATAGGTGATGCCTACATGTGAGAGAGCCATTTTCTAAATGACTAAGACACACCACCTCTGGAAAACTACTTCATTTTTCAAATTTGGTAATATCCCACTATAAAACTGACAAACATAGATCAATCTAGAAAAAACAGAACATTACAAAAAAAGGATAAAATCAGAAAATGGTAGGCTATTTTATAAAGCAGACTAATGCCCCATAATTTAATTGGCCAAATATTCTAGGTGACACACCAAAAAAGACAGAGCTATGCAAAAGTCATTTATTACAGATGCACCCATATAATCAGAACTTGACACATTCCAGCTCAAGAAGTAGGAATGGGGAAATATCTCAATGGCACAGACAATGGTTTTTAGAATACATACATCTAGCTCATAAAAATGAAGAATAAGGATGTCAAAAATCATCTAACCCAATAGTTCTCAAGATATGATCCTTTGACAGTAGAATTGACGTCACCCAGGAACTTACTAGAAATGGGAGTTCTCAGGTACCACCATAAACCTACTGCATAAGAATCTGGGAGAAGGGCCCTGTGATCTGAACTTTAATAAGGCTCAGATGAATGAGAACCACTAATGAAACCTAACTATCATACCTATCCTTGGGTCCTTTCCTACAGAATCTCTGCAAAGCGGTTGGCTAGCTTATGCTTGAAACATCCCAGAGATGGGATGTTTGCTATACATTCGTTCTAAGATAATTAACTCCCCCACTAGTTACTCTTAATACCAAGTCACCCATTTGTTGAGGATTTATTCCTTGGGGCCATATAAAACAAGAATCATTCAAGCCACAGTGCCTCAAATATTTGGGTTTAACCATTCTTTATTTCTTCCAGTTTTCTAAAAAGAAACATGCAAATTGTGCAAACCACTCCAGAACAATACTGGTTCTAGAACCGGTAATCCCTGTGGTTCTTTGCCTCCCCAGAACCTACTTTCTAGAGTTCTAACCACATCACTTTTATTTTCTTTGGGGTATAATTCACCCTAGTCTACAGATGGGGCTCTTCCTACTGCCAGGTACCAGGGATGGGCACTTCTCTGGCATATCACTGCTTCAGGAGAGGACATGGGACACAAAATGAGTCATTGAAGGCAAGGATATCTTCCCAATGATAACTGCTAATATTAAAGAGAGCTTTTTCAGCTGAGTTGCCAGATTGGTTAAACATGAACTCAAACAGCTAGAGATCTCCCTAAAAACATATTAGAGCTAACACTGAGGCAAACAGAGCCAAGACACAGAGACCCACACCTGATGACATCGTCTAAGCATCTGGATATAGCAATGCTAGAAAGAATTATGTCCCTAGAATTTCCCTTTACAGACGTTTGCACAGTCTTAAACATAGGCTGTATTTGATGAGCTTCTATTATCAAGAGTCCATAATGGGCTCTCCCTGGTAGTTTTATTTTTCTCTTATTATCACTCTCCCATTCATCCTCTATGCCCAGCACCATCCCTCCCCCTTGATTAAAGGATTCACTTTTTCACAATTAATGCACTATTTACAACCCTTTATGTGTTTGTATACGTATATTTCATATGTCAAAATATATTCAGGGCTCTTCAAATCATATATTTTAAATCCCATTCTTCTGTTTCTCTCAACATTCTTTCTGAGACTATCAATGTTGCTATAAATACCCCCTTCTCTCTTACAGCTTCTCACTGGATTCCACCATGGAATTCTGGTCCCTCCCCACAGAGCTCATGGACTAGTCTTTTACCACAAACACCACTAACTGCCATCTGCAGGTGTATTTCCCTAGATACCTATACTACACTTCCATTATGGGTTTCAGGTAATATATGTACTTAGGTTTTCTAAAATACATGCACCATTTTGTATTCCCAGAGCAATTCATGAAGATTTGTTTTCCTACACTCTTATCAGCACTATTATAGTATCTGCTCTCCTCACTTTTACTGGTTGATTGGCAAATGGTGTCTCTTCTTTTTAATTTGCTTGTTTCTTATAGCAATGTGTGTGCAAACTACCAATTTGTTCTCTTTTTTCTTGTTTGCAGTTCTTAAGAATAAACCCAGTGATATTCACAGGCTAGGCAAGTGAGTGCTCTACCACCGAGTTATATCCCCAGCCCTATTTGTTCTGTTTTTATTACTCTCCTCCCTTCTACTTTCTGATTTTTTCAGAGTCCCTTGTATATTCTGAATATTGATTGTGGCCTATTAAACATGACAATTATATTTTTATCATGTGCTAATTTTTCTGCTATTCTCTCAACTGAACAAAAAGCATCCATTTTGGGGCATTCACATTTTCTTTTGTGCTCTGTGAGTCTTATATAACATATCCTTCTCTATCATAAGGTTACCAAATAGATTCCTTTTTTGGTGGTGACAGTGTGACGAGGGGGACTAGAGATTGAACCTAATGATGTTTTATCACTGAGCTACATCCCCAGTCTTTTTTTTTTGAGGAAGGGTTTTGAGGCCTTGCTAAATTGCCAAAGCTGGCCTTGAACTTGAGAGTCTTCTGCCTCTGCCTCCAGAATCACTGGGATTACAGGCATGCATCACTATCACTTTGTCCAGCTTAGGTAGCAAAACATTCTTGAATGTTCTTTTATCACTTTTATATTCTTCACTTTTAACAGATATTTATTTATTTCACATGGGACTTTGTTCATAATATGAAATATGAAAACAGTTTCACTTTTCTCCTTTTATGAGTCAATTTTCTTTGTACTGATATGTGGGAATGACTACACTACATCCTATATGTACATAGGAATGAATCTGGATTGTTTTAGTCTGATTCCATGCCAGATGCTGTAGAAGAGAGGTCACTAAATTATTTCTGCAGAGGGACAGATGCAGCAGTTGGTGCTTCAACTACTCAATTCTGTCATCACAGCATGAAAGCAGTCACTGGCAATATCTAAATGAATAGGTGTGCTGCGTCCTAATAAAACTTTACTTACAAAAATAGTTGCAGACTATATTTGATTGTGGGCTGTATTTGCTAACTCTTCTTACAGATTTGCTACTTACCTTATGGAGAAAGAATTTATTTTTCTTGATTTACTCTCCTACAGAAATTTACTCTTCTCCTTCAAAAAAAAATTCTTGGTTATTTGTTGGAACGGATTTAAATTTTTAATGGAGGGGATATGTGACATCTTCACAATATTCCATGAAGCCATTTATGAGCACTGCATTTATGCTCTTTAATATCATAATAAAACTCTTGTAATAGAGTTTTAAATTTTCCTTACATGTTTTATGCATTCTATCTTAGATTTATTCCTAGATAGCTTAGTTTATGTCACTATTATAAATGGTATCTTATTGTCATAGTTCATAATTGGTTACTCCCAACACAGAGGAAAGCTATTGATTTTTATGTGTTGCTCTTACAGCTAGCAACCAAGCTGAACTCTTGTATTGCTGCTAATAGTTTCTGCTGATTCTCTTTGATTTTCTATATAAATGATTTCACGTAGAGGTAATGACAGTGTTATCTCTCATTTCAATTCTTTTTCTCTCTCTCTTTGTCTATTGCAATGGTCAGGTATCTGGTAATGTGTTGAGAAGTAAAAGCAACAGAGTCATCCTTGTCTTGTCCCTGTTATAGATTTTTAGTAGAAAGCCTTTATCAAACTTAAAAATCCCTTGTATTTTTACATTTATAAAAAAACCTTAATACATGTTTTATATCAATGAAGATGCAACCGCTTCTTCTTTGCCATGAATATGGAAAATGACATTACAGATTTTTTTTTGAAATATTGTGCTATCCTTTCACATTTATGTTTGACTCAGTCACCAAGTTTTATTTAATATTTAGTATCCCTTAATGTCATAAGTGAAGTTGGCCAACATTTTTTTCAAGCCTCAACTTACCTTGTTTATTAAAACCAAACTTAACCGGTTCATTTTTTGTGCTAAAAGAAATTTTTATAAAGGAGTATTTTCTGTTCCTTGCAAGTTAAGCAGAACTCACTTGTAAAACTGTAACCCTTTTCCTCTTACAGGGAGGACTAACTTTTGATGATCATTATGATTTATTATGTTTTCTGATCTACTCAAGTGTTCTTTCCTGTATCAATTTCTTATCCATATATCCATTCACACAAATTTAAATTTTTATAGATAAAAATTCACACTTTAATCAATAAAATAATTATAGATCATTATTTTAAACTATTTTGTAATCACAATA